TAAGCGTATCACTGTAGAGTCAGTAGGATGAAGGGGCACACTGAGACGATGGTGGGGGAAAACTGGAATCCTGGTGGAGTGTGTCGTATTAGAATGTCTGATGATGCATAAAACCCTGCCACTACCAATACTGTAAATCACAGTGCCTAAAAAAATTAATAATAACCCCTGAGCACAGCTGGGTGTAGCCCAAAAACCAAATAAATGTCTGCAGAGCCAGTAAGAAACAAAGATCCTGTGATAGGTGCCATCACATTATAAAGATTGGTTGGAACCGGGGCCCCGGTTTCTGTGCACACCTCCTCCAGGAGAGCCGCTCCAGCCTCCTTGTCTCCACTGGGGATGCCAGCCTGGCTGTGTTCACTCAGGCGCAGCTCCAATTCTGGTGTGGGGGAGAAGTCGATCCCCAGTCTCTGACCCAGCACCCTCGCCCACACCCATCACTGTATTCGGGATCACTCCTGGTGTCGGGTCCAGGGCATGGGCTCAGCTCTCCCACTCACCTCATTACTCCCCGGGGCTTACTCTGGTCTTCCCCATAAGCAGGAGAGGAGCATGGCATGTGAACAAGAAGGCAGGCCTCCTGGACCCCTCTGCACCACAAGTCTCTCTTGCTACATGGCCTTGAGCAAATCTGCTCCTCTCTGGGGCTCAGGCATCCGGATCGCAGACACATGATCCGAGGCCTCCTTGTTCAGGGAGGTGTCATAACTCAGACACCATGTGTCCTCGGGGTGGCCCACCAAAGGAAGGGCTGCTGAGAAGTCTAACAGGACATTCTGCCTCTGCCAGCCCTGGGGTTCCAGGCCTGCAGAGTCTAGAAGGGACTGAGGGTCTGAGTTTGGGTTTAATCATCACCCGATTGTTCAATGTTGATAACTTAGTTACACTTTTTTTCTTTTGGTTTCTGAGCCACACCCAGCTGTGTGCAGGTGTGCACTCAGGGATCGCACCTAGTGATGCTCAGGGACCATATACAGTGCCAGGGATTGAATCCAGGTCGGCTGTGTGTAAGGCAAGTGCCCTGCCTTCTGTACTATCTCTTTAGTCCCTTATTCACACTTTGTTTAGGTTTTGTTCATTTGTCCCAGCAGTGTTCATTGCTTACTCTTGGCTCTGTGCTTAGGGATCACTCCTGGTGGTGTTTGGGGAACCATATGTAGTGCTAGAGACCAAAACCTGGGTCAGCAGTATTCAAGGCAAGGCAGGGCCTCACCCCTTGTACTATCTCTATGTACTACTACTCCTGGACTATCTTTTTTTTGTGGGGTGGGGGGTGCGGTGCAGGCTTCCCAAGAGGTGCTCAGGGGCCCAGAGGCCACTCCCAGTGACACTCGGTCAACTGAGTCAGACAGTTGAACACTGGGACCTGAGAATGCAGTGCTGCTCAGGCCCTACAGTGCCCTGGACCATGAGGATCGTTCCCACAGTGCTCTGGGGCCGCCCAGGGCTTCACCCAGAGGTGCTGGGTGGGGAGCGTGTGGTGCTGTGAGTCAAATCAGGGTCAGATGCCTGCAAGGCATCACCCTAACACCCTTGTATTATCTCCCCTGTTCTAGAGCTCACATTTCCTGCCTTCCAGGCTAGAGCTGAGCTCTTCTAGCAACTTCTGTCTCAACAAACTTTGGCTACTCTGCAAGTTTCCCTGCCCCCACTCCCATCCCACCCCTGACTCTTCACTCTCCAAATAGGCCTTGATTCCCCCAGGAGCACCACTGGCCAAAGGCCAGGACCAGAGCGAGGGTCAGGAACATGGGCGGAGGTTTGGTCTATCTTTGAGGCTGTCCCACATCCAGCTGACCTCCTCAAGTGGAAAGAGTCTGCATGGGACTAAAAAGCATGGAAACTGAGACCCAGAGAAAAAGCCGCGCTCACTGCCCTTAGTTTTCTGTATCACCAGCATAGCAGCCCCCCTGCTGAAATGAGCTCCAGAAATGAGCCCAGAGTGGAAAGGATAAACTCCAGCGCTGGGACTGGCGTTTTCCTTCTGCCAGGAGCTCTGGGAGGGAGCTGAGTGCAGCAGCCCCTGACGGTGCTGATGACGCAGACTGGGGGGAGGGAGGAAGTGGGGGAGGCCAGGTCCTAGCGTCATCCCCAGAGTGGGGCCTGACCTTGCCTGAACCCTAGCTGCTTGAGCGCCCCTGCCCAGGGCCACGCTGATAAGGAGAGTTTGTGCTGCAGTTCCAGGGAGTAAAGCGAAGAGGGGAGTCAGGAAGGAGATAAGAGAAAGGATAGAGGGAAAGAAGGAAAAGGAAGGGAGGAGCGACAGGATATCCCAGGGGACGGACTCGAGATCTGCCAGAATAAGTCCCCCAGACTCATCACTGAGGCAGGAGGGCTGCTCCCACCTCCAGAAGCAGGAGTAATGTGGTCAGAGATGGGATAGAGCCAGGGTTCGACTCCTGCCGTAGGCCAGTGTGGCCAACCTGGGTTTGATCTGCATCACCCCATATGGGTCCCCTGAGCCTGCCAGGAATGGTTCCTGACAGCAGAGCCAGTAGTAACTCCTGAGCATTGCCAAGTGTGGCCCCCAAACAAATACACAACAGCAACAAAAGAACTCAGGCCCCTAGTCCATATCCTCCAAGGTCCTACACTGGAAACCTCTCAAGAAGCATTTGGCTGCCAAAATACCCCACCCGGTTCCCCGCAGGGCCAGTGTGGGGATGGGGGTTCCACACAAAACACAGATTCTTGTCAGGATTAGAGGGGTCTGGAGCAGGAAGGGGCTGGGGGAGCCTGGGAGGCTTGGGGCCTCTGATGGCCATGCAGTCTGACCTCCTCGCTGCCCTGCTTTCTGCTTACTCACTGTCTCCCCACCCCATTGTCAGGCCTGGGCCTTTCTCACCCATCAATCTCCCAGCCCTGTGGAACGCCCCTTGCACACGGCCCTTCTTCCCTGGAAAACTTTCTGGCTGTGTTGAGCGCCTGCTGGAGCAATTGCCTCTTCCATCTGGAATTGTTTACAACATCCTATTTCACTTTCTGTATGAGTCTGCTTTGTTTCCCAACCTTTCTCTCCATGAAACAGGAAAGTCCCAGAGGCCCTGTGACCTCTTTGGTAAGCAATAAGCCTCTAAAACTCCTAACTTCCCCTGACCCTCCTGCGGCCCAAGAAGTGGGGGCGTTTTACAACCAGGAAACTGAGCCCAGGTCCAAGACTCAGCGCTGCACCTCAAAGTGACCAGTTCTTTGTGCTTCTGCTTTACCTCTGGTCAAACCGTCTCTGAGGTCAACTATAGAATAGAGATGAGAACTCTGCTTGCCCAGAAAGGGAAACCCAAGGATGGGCCGCTCACTCAGGGTTGTCTTGACCCGGTGCACTCCATCCAGGCTCGGATCTGAGTCCAGCCTGACCTTTATTGTGACTTTCCGGTTTGTTTATGGGCATGCGAACAGGATGAGAGAAGATCCTGGCTGGGGATTCCCAGACACGAACCCTTGTGCTGGGTTCTTGGAGGGACTCCAGGGCAGCTCAGAATGCAGGTGCCTCCTCCACAGCGGGGATGCCCTCGGCCTGCCTCAGAACTGGTTGGATTTGGGCAGTACCTGGGCACGCCTTGCTCACATCACACTGGACTTTGTGCCTCTTATTCTTCTCAGTGGGAGGAAGGAGCGATCTGGACATCCCCTTCCTCAAGAGTGGGGTAGGAAGAGGTAAAGTGAAATGCATCCAATGAAGGGGTTCAGTAACAGTACTGCAAACCATAGTGCCTAAAACCAGAAAAAGGGGGAGGGAAAAAAAGAGAAGAAAAGTGTCTGCCATAGAGGCAGACTGGGGTACCTGGGGAGGGAAACAGGGGTCATAAGTAGCGAGAAATGTACACTGATGAAGGGATGTGTTGAAACATTGTATGACTGAAACTTAATCATGAACAGCTTTGTAACTATCTCACAGGTGATTCAATTAAAAAAGAAAGAGAGTGGGGATGGGGGGTAGGGCTGTTCCAAACTGGAACAGGCCAGCCAGCTTAACCCACATTTAAGCTGGGAGGGAGCAAGGAGACAGACTGACACACCAGAAGGGGTTTTCCAAGCTTGACTTTGCAGGTGTGGTATGGAGAAGGCTCAAAAGAGGCACAACCCACTTCTACTTGGTTCCTGAACTGCCCAGTGTAGCCAGCAAGGAGTTTTGCAAAGTTGACAAGGGAAAGCACAGATCATAATCAGCTCATGTCCAGTGAGAACCTCGAGCTGGCCCTATGGTTTTGCCCTCCACCACTTTCCTGTCCTCTCACCTGCCTTGGTCAGCCCTGTTCCTTCCTTCCTCACTTGGATCAGAATAAGTACCTTCAACTCAAAGGAGACAGTGACACAAGTGTCCCCTTCTGCTCCGTCACTCTCAAGCCACTTTTCCATCATCCCCACTAACTCCATTTATTTTTCCCAAATAAATGGAGTTAGTGCTCCGGGTTTACTCTGGCTCTGAGCTCAGGGATCGAAGGAGTCCTTTAACTCTGCCCTTGAGCAATCCTGCCCCACCTTCTTCAGAAAGTCCTCAAGTCGGTGAAGGGTGGGGTGGCAATCCGCTTAAGACCTAGTCCAGAATGCCTTGTTTTTCCTTTGTGCAAGGAAACTCCCCCCACCACCCCCACTCCCCCCCACCCTCGACTCCCGCCTGGGGCTTGAACCCAGGGCCTCGGACGTGCGAGGCTGATGATGCTCTAGTCCGGAGCCACATCCCCGGCCCGAGAAACCTGTTCTAAAAGCCCGAGTGGCATTCCCCGGCCTCCTCCCGCCCCGCAGCCCCACCAAGGGCCCGTGCGGCTCCGACACCCTGGGCAGTCCGCAGGGAGGTGGGCGCGGGCTGAAGTCATCGGCGCACAGCCCAGCCCGGGAGGAAAGCAGCGCTGGGAAGCGGTGACGTCACCGGAGCCCCGCCCCACCCCGCCCCGCCCTGCCCGCTGCGCGCACGCGCACGCGCGGGCCCGCCCGCCGCCGCCCCGCGCGCACGCGCCCTGCGCGCTCCTGCCCTATATTAGGGCCGAGCCGCTCGCGCCCCGAGGCTCGTCGCCGACAAGGGCAACGGTCAGTCCAAGCTTCTCGGCCCGGCTTCCCAGCCGCCGCCGCCTCCGCCGCCGCCGCCGCCACCGCCGCCGCCGCCGCCGTCACCTCCACAGCGTTGCCCGCGCAGGTGAGGGCCCGCGCTCTGGATGCGGCGCGGGCCGCGGGTGGGGGGCGCCCCGGGAGCCCGGCCGGCCAGGGGCCCCCATCCCCCACCGCCGTGGGGCAAGGTTCCTCTCGCAACCTTTAACCTGGCCGGCCGCTCCAGCCACCTGGCGGCGGCCTTAGAGCCCCTTCTTGCTCCCCTCTCTCCGACCCCCGCGACCCCCCGCGGAGCCGGGGCTCCCCAGCCCGCGACCACCCCCTTCCGCTCGACAGCCCCCCACTCCCCTGGTTCCTTTCCCCTGTTAGCCCCCCACCCGCGAGCTTGTTCTCTTGCCCAGCTCACCTAGAAGTGGGGGGCATGACTTGGGGGAAACCCTGCATCAGGGATCTAGGGGGCCCTCCGCTGGGACCTTGCCTCCAGCTTGGGGTGGGGGGCTGGGCAGCGCCTGGATGGGTGACAGTGACTTCTCCCCTGGCCTCGCTTCCACACCCTGGTATGTGCCAAAGTGTCTTATCTGCGCTGCGGCTTGCCCTGGAGGAGCAATCGTACCTCCCGAACCTGTTCCCGATTTGCCCCTTATTGTCCCTGGCTTATTCATAGTCCCGTCAGTGTACCAGTCAGTGTACCATCGGCACTGGATAAAGCGGCTTCGCAGGTGCATTTGAGTAGAGCTGGGGGTGACTTGGTGGCAGAACCTCTCTCCCCTCCCTTCCTCGCGACCACACTGTCCTCAGAAGTTCTGTCTGGACCTTGTTGGTAGTCCAGGGGGCCCGGCTGTAAACTGCTGGTGACACTGGAGCACAATGACCTTTTAGTGGTATTTCGCTTGATTATTATCAAGCGTTGATGTCACTCATCTTTCTACAGGATCAGTGTACCTCCGGGACATGGAGACCGTCGTCCGCCGCTGCCCGTTCTTATCCCGGGTACCCCAGGCCTTTCTGCAGAAGGCGGGCAAATCTCTCTTGTTCTATGCCCAAAACTGCCCCAAAATGATGGAGTTTGGGGCCAAGCCAGCCCCTCGGGCCCTGACCACTTCAGCTGTTCACTGCCAGCAGGTCAAAGAAACCCCACCGGCCAACGAGAGTAAGTGTCACTGGCCACTGCCACAGGCCTTCCAGCCGACAGTGGGGCATGAGCCTCTTTGGATGCATTATCTCAAGTAAATCTGTGATTGTCCTAACCCCACTAACCCAAATTGGGCATTTTAGTTTTATGCTCATAAAGTGTGGACAAGGGCTGGAGCCATTGTACAGCGGTAGAATGCTTGCTTTTGCACGTGACTGACCCAGGTTCTATCCCTGGCACCCCGTATGGTCCCCTGAGCCTGTCAGGAATGATCCCTGAGCACAGAGCGAAGGGTCCTGAGCATCCAGATAGGACTCAAAAACAAGACACAAAAATGTGGACAGTGTTCCACATTATGTGTTTTTTTATACTCCATTGTGCCTCATTCATGTAAGCATAAAGCTGTAATGTTCTATTCTTGTCTGTGTTTCAGTAAGTATTTAGCCCTTTTAAAATTATTAATCATCTATTTTTAGAGCAGTTTTGTATTCCCAGCAAAATTGAGTGGAAGATTTTAGCCTTGAAAGTTGTGGTTTTTTTTTTTTTTTTGTGGTAAAATGCACATAACACAAAACATTTCAGCCATCTGTGCAGTTCAGTGGTGTTGAGTACATTCATATTGTTTCTGTCCCACCATGCAGTTTCTGGAACTCCTCATTCCAAGCTGAAACTCTGCCCTTTGAACACTACTCCCCTCCGCTCTCCTCCCCTCCCCCATCCATTCTTCTTTCTGTCTTTGTGACTTGAGTACTCCAGGAATCTAACATAAGTGAACTCACAATATTTGTTAAAGTAGTAATTTCTGTAGGCTGGAGCGATAGCACAGCGGTAGGGCGTTCGCCTTACACGCGGCCAACATGGCGACCCGAGTTCGATTCCTCCGCCCCTCTCGGAGAGCCCGGCAAGCTACCGAGAGTATTCGATATGCCAGACACAGTAACAACAAAGTCTCCAATGGAGACGTTACTGGGCCCGCTCGAGCAAATCGATGATCAACGGGAGGGCCTTTACCTTTACCTTTACCTAGTAATTTCTGTCAACACATACATCTTTATATGTGAATTCCTATTTTGTTTTTAATGAAGTGATCAGAGTTGGGCCAGAGAGAACGCTCAGGGACTGGGACCCAGTACAGACTTGATGTACAGGAGCCCAGGTTTGATTCCCAGCCCCCCACCATCCCATGAGCACTGTCAGGAATGACCTGAGAGCACTGGGCTGGGAGTTGCCCCTGAGCACCATGGGGTGTGTCACAGAAACAGGAAAAAAAAGATTAGAATTTAGCTTTGCTCTGGCTGTGCCAGGAGAGGATGAGGCTTTTCACATTTCGCTTAATCCAGAAGAATATCTGGCCTTCTAGGGTTGTTAAGGTGTGTCCTCTAGAAGTGGATTTGCAGAACAGAATGTTTCACTCTCTAAGAAGGAAGGATTTAATCTTTATAGAATTTTTCTCTTTGCCATTGTTCAGGGCCAAGTGGGGGTTTTTTTTTGTTTGTTTGTTTTAACTGAGCAATTCTTTGTCTTTCACAATTCTACCACTTAAGAGTTGCAGGAATAGGTGGGTGGAATGCGGTTTCTTTTGACAGACTAGCATGCAACCATTACAAATATCATTAACAAAGCTATTTACTAGTTTAAACAGATCTGCATAATGAAAAGGACAGTAAACAAACATATACAGAATAAGTGAAACTTTAAAAGAAATCTATTTGGGAGTGCTAGATTTGACTCTGAGATAAAGCAACTGCCTTCCAGACACAGGGTCTTCAGAGCCCCGCACCACCCCCACTTGCTCCCTTGCCAGTGTGACCCTGGCTGCCCTGCACCGCCCACTCGGTGCTCTCCAGCGCAGCTAAGGGAAGGCAAAGGAGCCTGTACGCTGGGTGAAGTGTAGTGGGATTCCGCCACGGTTCCGTTTTGAATAATAGTACTGTTAGCATTCCTCCAGACTTCCTACAGTGAATTTGTGTTTTATAATGAATGAAATGAGCTTCAGATTATTTCTGGCTTTCCTTTATAGAAGATTTTGATGAACCATCTCACCCAGGTTGTGGGAAAGGCTAGCCTATGACTCTCAGGAATATTCCATAATGATGAAGAAAGACTTTTCTAGAAGGAAGGTAAACGGATTTGCTCAAGGGGCAAGGGGAGTTATTATAGCTAGAGCACAATTACAGTCCATAATTAAGCTTGTGAACCTCTGGTGCGTTTAGATGAGAAAAATGAGACAAGTGATGGTCTTTTTTCTTAAAATGCTAATAAATCTAACTCTCTTAGACAACAGTTTTGTGGGGGCATGATGAGGGTCTTGGGGGCTACTTGTCGTGACTCCTGGCCAGCTGGGTGGGTGGGCCAGAGTCAGGGTCAAGGTGCGGTACTGCTCATACCCTGTGGTGCCAGGGATTCCTCAGGTTCCCTGGCATGCTCAGGGGCATCCTCAGGGACATCTCGGTCCCCTGCAAGTGCTCAGGGGGCTGTGTGGTGCCAGGGTCCAGCAGGTTGGCCACAAGAAAAGGATGTCCCTTAGCCTCTTTACTTCTCAGGCCCCCGCTGTTTGTATTTGTTTTGTTTGGGGGGCTACAGCCAGCAGTTCTCTTTGTTTAGGTTTCGTCCTGGCAGAATTGGGAGGATCATATGTGGTCCCAGTGATCTAACCTGTTCTGACACACCCAGGGCAAGTAACTGCCTTCCCACAGGACTCTTTCTGACCCTGCTCTGTAATTTTTTTTTAATTTTTATTGGCGAAACACCATGAGGTACAGTTGTAGACTTACAAATTTTTGTGCTTGGGTTTCAGTTACACAATGATCGAGTACCCATCCCTCCACCAGTGCCCATTCTCCACCACCACTGATCCCAGTATCCCTCCCACCCCCCTCCCTCCCATCCCACCCTGCCTCTGTGGCAGGGCATTCCCTTTTGTTCTCTCCCTCCTTTTGGGTGCTGTGGTTTGCAAAAGAGGCATTGGGTGGCAATCCTGCTCTGTATTTTTAAAAGAAGTCCAATGACTTTGAGGGGTTGTTCAACTTTGCCTTTTAACTCTTAGCCTAAAGGTAACACTTTCAGTGAGACAAATGGGAAAACGGTTACATTAGCAAAACAAAAAAAGTGTGGATGGTGGGAGAGTTAAGTATAAAGTGTGTTTTCAAGATAATCAGAGAAGGAAATAAGTGGGTTTTTGGTGTGCTTCCAAACCAGAGCTGATGTGTGTCTTTCTATCTCTCCCTTAGAAGACAAAACTGCCAAACCCGAGGTGGCTCAGAAGGCCGCTGAAGGATCCCCGCAGACTTCAGAGGGTTCACAGCTTCCATCTGGACACCCGCCTCTTGCTGCGAGCCAGGGCACCGCGAGCAAATGTCCTTTCCTGGCCGCCCAGATGAACCAGAAAGGTAGCAGCGTCTTCCGCAAAGCCAGTCTCGAGCTTCAAGAGGATGTGCAGGAGATGCACACCGTGAGGAAAGGTAAATGCTATAGTCATGAACTGTTAGGAAGGGTGAAGTGGTGCTTTGGATCCCCAGATTCATGTGCACGGTCATGTTAGGGTGCAGTTTGGTACCTTCCTCTTTTAGGGCCAAAGAGTGGTACTCTGTGTGTGTATAGGACATTAACAGTTTTACAGTAATTGCTTTATTTCTTTTTGGTTTTTGTTGTCGTTGTTTTGTTTCTGCACCTCACCCAACCGTGCTCAGGTCTTACTCCTGGCTCTAAGCTCAGGGATCACTTCTGATGGGGCTCCAGGGACCATATGGGATGTGGGGTTTCGAACCCAGGTCAGCTGCATGCAAAGGTAGCTCTTTACCTGTTGTGCTCTCTCTGGACCCTGGAACTGCTTAATTTTTTATAGCATCTTGCAGTCATAAACTGTTGTCTACTGCTCTTCGTTTCATACCCACCACTGCTGGGATTAAAGATAAAAGTGATGATACTGTGATAAGTGATAATGTTGGGCCTCCTTAGCTGTGTGTCTCACTGATGTCATTAAGTGACAACGGTGATTTCGTTTGTGGCTATTATCCGTGGAGCATTTGCAAGGTCCTGTTAGCAAAAAGAGACAGAAAAAGCCACTCTCAAAAGCGGTTTATATGGCTATAATTGTTATTCTGTGATGAAAATTGAGATGAGGGCGAGGGTTAGGCCAGGACGGCATATGTATGGTGCAGGGATCAGACTGGGGTTGGCTGCACTCACAGCCAGAGCCTTACCCACTGTACTCTCTCTCCCACCCTTTAGCTAGAGAACTCTGGACTGCAATGTTCTTTAAAACTGACTAGTAACTGATACTAAAACAGAAGTAGGTGATGGCTGTTATAGTTACTAAAATGGGACCAGAGGGGCCAAAGCAATATTATAGCCAGCAGGACACTTTCCTTGCATGCAGCCAACCCAGGTGTGATCCCCAGCACCCCATAAGGTCCCCTGAGCACTGCTAGGTGTGGCCCCAAAACCAAAATAAAATTAAAACGGGGGCCAGAAAGATGGCTCAGTGGGCTTAACTCATGCTTCACATGCAGGAGGGCCTAGATTCCATTCCCAGCACTGCATGACACAGAACCTGGAGTAGCCCCTGAATCTGACTGGGTGTGGCACCAAAATCAAAATAACTGCCATAATTAAAATGGAAGAAGAAAAGCTTTATGCACTCACAAGTGACTGGGTATGGTCAGTCTCCTTGGGGTGAGTTTCTACAATATTCTAGGAAGGTGTGGTGGACTCAGTCAGGTGCTTTTCCTGATCTTGCATTACTTTTGTTGCAGAGGTTGCTCAGACCTCAGAGAATCCTGGTGCGATTAGCGTGAAGGCCGATGGTGGGGAGCAGAGTGGGTTGCTGAAGAACTTTCAGGATATCATGCGGAAGCAAAAGCCAGAAAGAGTGTCCCATCTTCTGCAGGATAACTTGCCAAAATGTAAGTTCCATTATTCTTGTGTGTTGTAAGAGGGAGTTTTTCGTCTGTTTTATTTGGCTCGGGGGGGGGGGGGGGCAAGAGGGTTGGGGCCACTCTCTGTGGTGCTTAGGGACTACTCCCAGGTCTGTGCTCGAAGGACCATGCAGTGCTTGGGATAAGACCAGGATCAACTTCATGCAAGGCAAATACCTTAACTCCTGTCCTCTCTCTGGCCCCAGGAGGGAGTTTCTAACCTAAACATGTAGTAGATTAACTGTAAAATTGAAGCCTGGGGTCATAGCTCAAAGGGCCAGAGTTCATGGTCCCTTAGGTATGGCTCAAAAACAAACCCCAAAATTCAACGCAAAACAATGGAGTCAAAAGCCAAGTCTGTTGCTCTAGCTTTAGTGACAGCAAGTCCTGTGATGACCTGCCTGCTCTTTCTTACCCTCTCACCAGGAGTCTCATTGTCTCCCGAGTGAGACAGCCCCCAGGGAGCTGTCAGGGTTGGACAACTCTTGGCCCCGAGCCAACCGGGGAAGCACTTGAAGCCACTTGAGCCATCTTCTGGGCCTTTGCTTTCTGAACTTCCTGTTTGAAGCAGACACAGTGTGGGTCTGGGACCAAAGAGATAGTTCAGAGGGTAGGGCATTTGCCTTGCACACAGTTGACTTGTGTTTGATCCCCAGCTGTATATGTGGGCCCTGAGCCCTGTTAGGAGTGGTCCCCGAAAGCAGATCTGGGTGCGGCCCCCAAACCAAATGACTAAGTAATACCCAGGCAAGTATTTCATTCACCCAGACTCTTCTCTGCTAGCCCTTAGTGACTGACCTGGGATTGGAACCCAGATTTTCCCCAAGTCCAGGGGTGCTACTTAACCATCAGTTTTTATTGTCTTGGTTTCTAGCTGTTTCTACTTTTCAATATGATCGTTTCTTTGAGAAGAAAATTGATGAGAAAAAAACTGACCATACCTATCGAGTTTTTAAAACTGTGAACCGGAGAGCGCACATCTTCCCCATGGCAGATGACTACTCTGACTCACTCATCACCAAAAAACAGGTGTCTGTTTGGTGCAGCAACGACTACCTAGGAATGAGTCGCCACCCACGGGTGTGTGGGGCAGTCATGTAAGTAGCCCCCAGCCAGCACTGGCCTCCCACATTATTTGGAAAGACACTGACGATTCAGATGGCTTAGATCTCTTACGGAGTGAAGACTCAGCAGCGGAAAGTATGCCAGAGCAAAGTACTAGCCTTTAAAAGTATCTTCAGAGGCACTGGAAAGAATACTGTACAGGGGGCAATGTGCTCACCTTGCGTGCAGCCAATCCCAGTCTGTCCCCAGCACCACATTTGATCCCCCTGAATATAGAGCCAGGAGTAGCCTCTGAGCACCATCAGTGACACTAAACGTTAAAAAGGTTTAGCAGATCCCATGTCCATCAGGGGCTTGCCATGGCCAGGGAGGATTGAGATTGTTGCTGCTAAACTCAGCAACATCCAAGGATTAGTAACAGATACCTCCTGACACCATGTGACTGGTCTAGGGAGGGTATCCTCTAGAGACAGTTGTCAGTTCACTGGAGAGAGAAATGTTTGTCCCAGAAGAGAAGCCCTAGCAGACTGACAGCTTATTCCCAGCACTCAGACTGTGAAAGGAACTCTTGCTCCTGATGCACCCTAGTGGCAGTGATACTCATTGTGGACACGTTCTCCCACCCAGCCTAAAAACGGTCTGAGCCCATATTTCATAGTGGAAGAATCACTCAGGTGGTTTTGACAACTGGCACGCACATTTTGCCCAAGAAGCTTTGGGTTCAATCCTGGCACTATATATATGTGTGATGTGTGTGTGTATGTGTGTGTGTGTGTGTGTGTGTGTGTATGTGTGATGTGTGTGTGTGTGTGTATCTATATGTGCTGGAGCTATAGCACAGCGGTAGGGTGTTTGCCACAGCCAGCCTGGCCGAGCCGGGTTCGATTCCTCCGCCCCTCTCGGAGAGCCCGGCAAGCTACCGAGACTATCTCGCCCGCACGGCAAAGCCTGGCAAGCTACCCGTGACGTACTCGATATGCCAAACATAGTAACAACAAATCTCATGATTGGAGACGTTACTGGGCCCCCTCGAGCAAATCGATGAACAACGGGAGGACAGTGGCAGTGATATATCTGTATGTATGTATGTATACCTCCAGCATTATTGGGAGTGACCCCCACCCTCAAAATATCATGTTTCAACCTCCTAGATCCTGGGAACAATTTTCATAGTTTCCAAAACTATGAAATTAATTTTCTGCCTGCCTTTTCTTTAGGGAGACTTTGAAGCAACATGGTGCTGGAGCGGGTGGTACTAGAAACATTTCTGGAACAAGCAAATTTCATGTGGACTTGGAACAGGAACTGGCTGACCTCCATGGGAAGGACGCGGCACTCTTGTTTTCTTCCTGCTTTGTGGCCAACGACTCCACCCTCTACACTCTGGCTAAAATGATGCCAAGTAAGGAAATCGGTCACGGAAGTCTTTATTTTATTATTATTATTTTTTATTTTATTTTTTCAATTTTTGGGTCATACCCGGCGATGCACAGGGTTTACTTCTGGCTTTGTACTCAGGAATTACTACTGGCGGTGCTCAGGGGACCATATGGGATGCTGGGAATCGAACCCAGGTCAGCCGCGTGCAAAGCCAACGCCCTACCCTCTGTGCTATCGCTCCAGCCCCGAGTTTTTATTTTTTTGGCATCTGAGCAACATCAAAATACTGGCTTACTGGGTCAAGGAGATAGCATAGAAGGTAGAGGATAGACGTGGCATGTGCATGCCCTGAGTTAAATCCCCAGCACTGCCAGGAGTGACCTGTTAAAAAAAGTGATAGTACGGCAGGAAGGGCGTTTGCTGGTTTCTCCAACCTGTGCTGAGATCTCTACAGCGATTCAGAGCTTCCGTCTTTCTCACAGCTGGTTATTTTGTGTTCTTGGATGATGTGTAATCAGACTAGTATTTGAATAAAATAATGTGTAAAAAATGTCATTAGGAGCTCTAGCACTAGGAACATTTGTTCTTGAATTGAGCACTAAGCATTAATCGTACATTGCAAGTTCTGGTAGAACATGATTTGAAGGACTCTCTTTAACTAATTGCTACAGTTGTGCTTTGCATTTTAGGTCATTTCCATCATTTTTAGTTATCTTTTGATTGCTTTTGGAGTAAAACTTGTTAGTATTGGAATGAGGCAGCCAGATTTGACAGCAGATGAATTTCCTGTGTCTGGATTATTCTACATCTGTGGGCCTTCTCAGTGGAGAAGCCTCCGTCAATTTCTGTGGCAGGCAGGAACTGGCACACTGTATCTTTTCTCAGCTGGGTAAGAGTGATGCTTTCAGGGCAAAACCCTGAAAGTCTGACTCTCTAGGAAATGGTTTGTCTTTGGGACAGCTTGGGATAAACAGCATTTTTATCCATTAGGCTGTGAGATTTACTCTGATTCTGGAAACCACGCCTCCATGATCCAAGGGATTCGGAATAGCGGAGTGCCCAAGTACATCTTTCGCCACAATGATGTCAGCCACCTCCGAGAGCTCCTGCAACGATCTGATCCCTCGGTACCCAAAATTGTTGCATTCGAGACTGTCCACTCCATGGATGGTAAGTCTGAGTAGAGCCAAGCTGGGGCCTTTCTGTTTTTGTGTGGTTTGGGGGCCACTCCCAGTGGTGCTCAGAGGCTATTCCCAGCTTAATACTCCAGGTTGCTCCTCATAGTGGTCAGGGGACATAGAGGTGCCAGGGCTCAAACCCAGGTGTGAGCTACAGGCAAAGTACAGCACAACCCATGGCGCTTTCTCTGGCCCCAAGCTGGAACCTTAAATGAAAAGTAGATTTCATTTGAAAATGCTATTGAGAGGCCATAGAAATAGTACAGTGGGTAAGGCACTTGCCTTGCACATGGCCAATCCGAATTTAATTACTGGCCCCCAATGTGTTCTCCTGAGCCCTTCAGGAATGATTGCTGAATGCAGAGCCAGGAGTAAAGTGTGAACACCACCAGGTGTGGTCCATAAACAAAACAAACAAAAACCCCAAAACCAAACAAACAGTATTATAAACCACAGTGCCTAAAATTAAGAAAAATTAAAATGAGACCTTAGAGGCCAGGAGAGAGAGTACAGGATAGGGCCTTTGCCTTGCGCACGGCCAACCTGCTTCCATTCTTGGAACCCTGTCTGTGCCCCCAAGCACCTCCAAGAGTGGTTCCTGAGTGCCAAGCCAGGAGAAAGCTCTCAGTATCGCCAGGTGGGGCCTCCAAACAGAAACAAACGAAGCAGAATGTGAATTCGGAATGTAAACGACATTGTTCTGACTGACACTTCAAACAGCAGTCTCTGGGCATGGCCTCTCTTCACTCATCTGTGGTCTTTCCTCAGGGGCTGTGTGCCCGCTGGAAGAGCTGTGTGATGTGGCGCATGAGTTTGGAGCCATCACCTTTGTGGATGAGGTCCATGCCGTGGGGCTGTACGGGGCCCGAGGTGGAGGGATTGGCGACCGGGACGGAATCATGCCCAAAATGGACATCATTTCAGGAACACTCGGTGTGTATATGCTGAACGTCTGCCGTCTTCCCGGGCTTATTATCCTAGCAAGGCCAGGGTCTAACTGGTCTAACTGGAGCAGGTGAGAACAGTGCAATAGCATAGAAATCCGGGCCCTTTTTTCATCTTAATTTAATTTTCCCAAGTGATGAGAGCTTGATCGCATCGCTCGTGGAGGCATGCTTTCCAGAATCAAAGTGTGTTTCAGAGCTGAAGACAGCAAAAATACCATTCGTGAGTCGGAGCAGTAGTTCAGTGGGGAGGGTGTTGACTTTGCACACAGCTGACCTGGATTCAGTCTTCCTGGGATGCCATGTGCATGAACACTACCAGGAGTAATTCCTGAGTGCAAAGCTAAGAGTAAATCCTAAACATCATCAAGTATGAGGTGTGGCCCCCACCAAAAAAAAAAAGGACAAGGTAATAGCATTCATTGTCCTCTAAGGGTTTTTTGTTTGTTTTGCATTTAAAAAAAAAAATTGGCAATGGGGGGTCACACCTGGCAGTACTCTAGGATTACTCCTGGCTCTGCGCTCAAGGATGACTCCTGGCGATGGGGATGGGCCCATATGTGATGCTGGGGATCAAATCCAGGTCAGCTTTCAAAGCCAGCATCCTGCCACTATACTATGCCTCTGGCCCTAACTTTTTATCTTGCTTTTTCTGTGGTGTTAGGAATCAAACCAGGACTTCACATATGTGAAGCATCTACTGCTGAGCAACATCCTCAGCATATAACTTTGATTCTGTTTACATGCCGTAATAACAGCTTTTTGTCTCTGTGACTCAGTGGCTCCCCTGTATTTGATGATGAGAATTGTTCTCATCGTCTTTCCTAGAACGGCCATTGGGCCTGCAGGTTTGGATGTCAGGGAGCGCCGAGTTCTGAACCAAACTTCAAGGGGTCCTCCCAGTCCACCCCTGCTCCTTAGTGTCTCCTGGTGTTTCTCAATGAGAGGCAGCATTTCTGGGGGCCCCATTTCAGAGCTCTGTCACCCACCGGACTCAGTGAGATTCACCAGCTCTGTGACCTTGGGCTGGTTGTCAGCCTATTCAGGTTTGTCTGTCTGTCTGTCTGTCTTTCTTTCTTTTTTTTTTTTTGTCTTTGTGTGTGTGAGTCCTGGGGGCACACCTGTCTGTGCTCACAGCTTACTTCTGACTCTGGCCTCAAGGTTCTCTCCTGGTGGGGCTCGGGAAACATATGGGACCTCAGGGATTGAGCCTGGGTCAGCCAGGTGCAAGGCAAGCGTCTTAGCGAGTGTGCTGGCTCTCTCGCCCCTGGTCATGAATCGATGTCATGGAGACAGTAGAACCCAGCGTGGTTTTGGGTGGCACACAGATGGGGATGGGATGCAAATAATTAGACCTTCTCTTTGCCTGCGAAGAATCTAAAGGGTTGAAAATTATGGAAACTGTACGAAATTGAAGATTTCCAAACAGGTCGTAATGAGCCCTGTGGAGCAGTAGTTCTAAGATGTTAGCAGCATGGAGGCTGCGCTTTGACAAGGCCGGGCAGGCTGAAAGGGAAGAAGTGAGCCCGGCTGTGAGGGCTGGTGTGAGAACACAGACCGGCAGCGCCTTTTCTGGGGAGAAGCACTTGGCCTCCAGTTTCCAAACCCCAGCAGCTCTTTTCTTTAAAGGGCTCTGGTGTGTGGGTTCTGAAGGCCTGGGTGTTGTAAGATGGGAAGGACGAGAAGGAACTTTCCCACTGCTGGGGCCTGGACCCACCCAGCCCTCCCAGGGTTCTACAGGAGTGTTAACTGAAGAACAGAATGTTAAAACCCGTGAGGACTCTCCAGGAGTGCTTAATCCTGAAACTCGAGAGAGCGATTATCTAAAGGGACTTAGGACTGAAATTTGAATCGCACCCTAAACCCACCCCAGTGGTGTTGCATGTTCATATTTACCCAGAAAATATGAATTGTCTGAGTATAGTGTTTATTTACATAGGAAATAATACCAGTCCCACCAGAACGGCTTATATCACAGTGGGGTCACGGTCCGCCTTGGGGGTAGAGCTTACAGTGAGAGGAGGGTTCAAGCACCCGGCTGGGGCCCTGCCCCCGGGAGCATGGCCGGTACGGACCACAGTGGCGCCTTCTTGGGCAAGACTTCTGCATGACCCTCCTCAGCTGTGTTCCCTGCAGAAACGTGTGGCCAGGGGAGCCTTCAGAGAGCAGGCTGTGTGCAGAGGGTCGGGGCTGTGGTGAATGAGGTGCTCTTCCCCCAGGCAAGGCCTTTGGTTGTGTCGGAGGCTACATCGCCAGCACGAGCGCCCTGGTGGACACCGTCCGGTCCTACGCAGCGGGCTTCATCTTCACCACGTCCCTGCCGCCCATGCTGCTGGCCGGAGCCCTGGAGTCCGTGCGCATCCTGAAGAGCGCCGAGGGCCAGGCCCTTCGCCGCCAGCACCAGCGCAACGTCAAGCTCCTGAGGCAGATGCTGATGGACGCTGGCCTCCCGGTCATCCACTGCCCCAGCCACATCATCCCTGTGCGGGTAATGACCTCTGGCTGCAGCCGATGACCCTCCCTACTGCTTGCTCCCCCCACCTCCAAACTGAAGCCTCTGGACCCAGCAGGAAGCCCGGAATAGAGTTTCCTTCTCCAGAACACTGCCCCTCCCAGGGTAAAGGCAGAGCTAGCGTGGGGAACACTTGGGAAACCTGAACTTGGCTTTCGGCTCACTTAATTCTGAAGCAGATTCTGCTCTTCCCGCTGCAAGGGCCAGGCCAGTTTGTGTCCCATTCGAGGGCGTGGGACCAGTACAGCCATCGGAACCAAAGCTGCCTTCTTCCCGAGTGGGGTGAAAGGTAGCTGGTGTCTGCCGGCACACGGGTACAGCCTGTGCGGAGGGGGATTCTGGTGCACAGCTAGTGTCTCGGGGGCCCTCACCAGTACTGACAGCTGTGAGGCCTCTGTCCTGCTGCACAGGGGCCCCGTTCCTTCCCCCAGTTGCCTCACTGCCAAGAGGCAGCCCCTCCCGTGCTGACCTTCCTACCAACTTAGGTTGCAGATGCTGCTAAGAACACTGAAATCTGTGATGAGCTGATGAGCAGACATAACATCTACGTGCAGGCTATCAACTACCCCACGGTGCCCCGGGGGGAGGAGCTCCTTCGGATCGCCCCCACCCCTCACCACACTCCGCAGATGATGAACTACTTCCTGGGTGAGTACTGGGTGCTCTGGTGCCTTATCAGAGAGTTGCATAAAGCAGTGTTTTTCCTTGCAGCACTTCTAAAACATTCAGATTTGATCCCCGTTACCATGCGCCCCCCCCCCCCCCCCCCCCGGCCAAGAAATGAAGTACCCTCCGTCATAGTGACAAGGCCACACTGGGAGATGGGGATTCTGGCTCTCTGGAACTGGGTTTTGTGTGTCTCTGTTCCTTGAGCTTTGTGGTGCTGGAGCCAAGTGCTCAATGAGTCCCTTCTGATAAGAGCATTACTCAGCACTTCATACCACGTACATCTCCTACAGTCCCATCCACCACCTCTGCCCCGTGTCCGTCCTCAAGGCAGACACCGAGGGCTGTTGTCTCCAGCCCCTCTGTTAAAAGGTCCATTGCCTTCCTGGACACCACGTCCCCACCTGGATGTGGGTCTGCTGCCAGGGAGGCTCAGTTTCAACAGAGTGCAGCAACTTTGGAACAACTTCTTCCTTGAAGGCTTGTAAAGTAAAACCATAGTCGGGTTTTGTTTCTGCATTTCATAACAGCCTATTGAGATACCATTTACATAGTATAACTTTTATCCTTTAAAAGTATGCAGTGGTTTTCAGGTACATTATAATGTTGGCTCACTCCTCTGATTCCGTGCAGAACAGCCTCGTCACCCCAGAAAGAACCCCATGTCTGGTAGCAGTCCCTCCCCATTCTCCGTCACCAACTCCTGTCAAAAGCATTCACTTTCAGGGCCTGGACGTGCGTGAACTTTACATTCCATATAAATGGGTCCCTGCAACAGTCAGTGCCATCAAACCTGGCTTCGTTTTGAGTTGCTTTTTTTTTTTTTTTTTTTTTTTTGCTTGTTGTGTCACACCCAGCGATGCTCAGGGGTTGCTCCTGGCTCCGCCCTCAGCATGCTTGGGAGACTATGGCGGGGGGGGGGGGGGGGGGGTGTGGAGGTGGGTTTCAAACCCAGGTTGGCCACTTGCAAGGCATGTGCCTTCCCTGCTGTTGCTCCAGCCCTTGAGCATGTTTTTAAGGCTCACCATAGTGAAGCTGGTCTCAGAATTTCATTTCTCTTGGGATTTTGGGTTTGGGGTATGCTTTTTTGTTTTATTTATTTGGGCTTGGGGTTTTTTATTGTTTCGTTTTCGGGGTTTTTTGTTTTTTTGTTTTTGTTTGTCTGTGGCTCTTTTTGTTTTGTTTTCGGGCACTCTTCAGTTTATTCCTTGCCTCGTGCTCAGGGATCACTCCTGGTGGTGCTGAGTACCACATTCAGGTCTTGGAATTGAACTGGGGTCACCTGTGTGCAAGGCAAGCACCTTACCCCCTGTGCTCTCTCTCTTGCCCTTTGTTGTCACTATAGCACTGTCACACTGTCCTCCCATTGTTCATCGATTTGCTCGAGCGGGCACCAGTAACGCCTCTGTTGTGAGACTTGTTACTGTTTTTGGCATATTTAATACGCCATGAGGAGCTTGCCAGGCACTTCCGTGAGGGCGAGACACTCTCTGTTGCTTGCCAGGCTCTCCGAGAGGGATGGAGGAATCGAACCCGGGTCAGCCGCATGCAAGGCAAACTCCCTACCCACTATGCTGTCGCTCCAGCCCATTATTGTCACTACCAGATCATTTTCTCATCTCAGATATACCACGTTTTGTTTATTCATCAGTTGGTGAACACTTAGGTTTTTACATTTTTACTGTTATGAAAGTACACTGCTATAAATGTTTGTGTTTGAGATATTCTTGCAGATGTGGTTTTTCATTTCTCTTGGGTGTGTTACCCCTGCCCCCCTCATTCAAACACTTTCTCCCCACAGACAATCTGCTGGCCACCTGGCAGCGAGTGGGGCTGGAACTCAAGCCACATTCCTCAGCCGAGTGCAACTTCTGCCGGAGGCCACTGCATTTCGAAGTGATGAGCGAGAGAGAGAAGTCCTTCTTCTCAGGCATGAGCAAGCTGGTGTCTGCCCAGGCCTGAGCGTGCCGAGACCACACTCCCTCCAGCGGCCCCCGCCACAGCCACAGCCTCCAGATTGTCTGTATATGTGATTTAAATTATATTAAATTTAGTCTATAAGTAAAAATATAATCCTGAAAATAAATTCTTGTTTACGTGACAGGTCCTCCTGTTGTTCACTGCTGGGTGGGAAAAATAAATAATTTTCTTGTGTCCAGTGAGATGGTACAAGGTTAAGACACTTGTCTAGTTTGATCCCTGGTACCACATACGGTACCCTGAGCACCACCATGAGTGATTCCAGAGCACAAGGCAAGGAGTAAGTCCTGAGCACTTCCAAGTTGGCCAAAAAACAAAAATTACTTTAAATTTAGACTACAGGGCCTGGAGTGATCATAGAGTGAGTTGGGTGCTGACCTTGCATGCTGGCACCCCATATGGTTCCCCCAACCATGAGGAGTAATTCCTGAGTGCAGAGCTAGGAGTTAGTCCTGAGCACCGTGGGGTGTGGCCCCCAAACCAAAATGTTCAAAGAAGAGAAAAATGTATCCAAAATAAAGGTATCAATATATAGGAGGCCTCTGGTGACTGAGGGGGCCACACCGAGCTGACCCCACTATGCCCCGGCAGTGGGACCCTCGGAAGGAAGGTGGGTCAGCGTACAACTGGGTTCTCGTGACGTCTTTGACCTCCCCTTGAGTGGACGGTGAGCCCCGGCCAGCGGTGTCCCCTCCTTCCCTCTCAGGCGCTGCCTTGGCCTCCTATGCAGGCCAGACAGGAAGGGGCCACTTGCCTGTCACTGCCACATCCTCTAGCCCAGACTGTCTCAACTGGAGCCACAGTGGACATCACAGAAATGGGGGCCAGGGATAAGCCTAGGAGTGGGAGTGGGGAGGAGAAGAGGCCAGAAGGCAGCCACAGGAAGGGAAAGGTTGAGGATCACAGGTGTAGCCCATCTACAGCCAGGATTGTGCCCTGCCAGGTGCCCCGGAAGCCTCCGGTGTTGCTTCCCACTGTGACTCCTCCTGCTTGGCGTAGCTTCTAGCCCGGTCCCGTGTTAGGGACTGAACCCAGAGCCTTTAGAGAACTGCGGCGTGTGTGCCACTGCAGAGTCACGTCCCGGCCCTCTGCTTGCTGCTGCCGGGCCCACAACCGTGTCCCTGCTCTGTTGCTGGGATGCTCCCCTCAGCTTGGCTGTGGCTCTGCTGTGGCCTCTGTCCTTTGCTGCTGCTCTGCCCACTGTGTTTTCATCCCCATGGCCTGTGGCAGTCACTCTCCACGCCTCTCGGATCCAGTGGCTGGCTCTGGTTTCCTGGCGTTGAGCTTCCCAGTGGTATTTGGTTGGCCTTGCCCTTTTGCAGCTTTCTAAGCTTTCGTACCTCTGACCTATAATTTTCTCTCTTTTTGCGGACTGGGTCCTTTGAATAGTGACCACTCTGGCTTCATCCACTGAGCCCCATCCCCCACTTAAGTCTCCTACTTCCGGTTCCACAGCTGGCCACCCTCAAATTCTAAGAACCGCACTGTTCCAGAAGGCACCTGTGTGCCCACTCCCCTCCTTGCTCTAACCTTGTCTACCCAGTTCCTTTGCCCCTCAGTTGGCTGTCACCCCTCAGGACACTTAGCAAGCTCTATAAGTTCTACCTCAAATACATCTCAGGTTAGGCCACTAATATCTGCCCTATCCTCATCATACGACCATCATCTGTATGATTTCCCTACCACCCCCAAACCCAAGAAGCCAACATGAACTTTCAGTGGGCTGAAATAATATAAATCATTATTACTTTTAAGTCTTTGCAAAGACCAAATATACTATCTGTTCTTAAGAGTTTAATAGGGGACAGAGAGATGGAACAGCGGGTAGGGCATTTGCCTTGCACACAGTCAACCTGGGTTTGATCCCCAGCATCCCATATGGTCCCGTGAGCAATGCCAGGAGTAACTCCTGATGCAGAGCCAAGAGTAAGCCCTGAGCATCTCTGGATGTGATCCAAAAAGAAAAAAAATTAGTATCTGAGTACAACAGGTTATTTGCCTTGCACATGGCCGACCTGGGTTCAATCCCTACACCCCATATGGTCCCCAGAGTCCTGTCAGGAAGAAGTCCTGAGCCCCACCAATGTGGTCCAAAACCAAAAAGAGCACACTCAGATATTAAACTTTTTTTTCTAGTTTTGGCCATACCCAGTTGGCTCAGGACTTAAATCCAGACCCTGTGCCAGGGACCACTCCTGACAAACTCGGAGACTATATGGGATGTAGGGGATTGAACCTTCATGCAAGCCCCACTGTACCATCTTTCCAGTCTCATCTGAGTATAGAGGACAAGATACTGAATGGGTTTTGGGAACTAGGAAATGGGACTGGAGCTTCCTTTGTCCAGCCCCGTATCAACCTGCTGTTGTAAACTCTGGCGATGGTGTGTACATGTGCCCAGAAATCTAACAAACCACAACCTAAGCCTCCCACTGGACCTACTTGGGCTAAGGGGGACTAATTCTAGAACTCAGAAAGTCAGGTGGCACTGGGGACAGGCCCTGGGACCACGATGCCATGCAGCTTTCCAGTCTCAAATTCCACTCACCCTGCTTGGTCACGCTGATCAGGGGTCGGCACTTCTGGGTCTCAGGTACTCCTCATTCTCTCCATTTTCCAGGTTTTGTAAACTCTGTCAATGGTGCGTACATGTGTGTACATGTTTGCAGTGGTTTCTGCCTGCTCTTCTGACCCCAGATGAAGGTGAAGCTGCCTCCCTCCTATAGGACAGGCCCCTCAGGAGGTCCCTGTGTCCCGCACAACAGCTGCCATGCTCTCATGACCTCCTGTGCTGCCCTTCAGAGCACTGACTGCTGCCCTCAGTGATGGTCTGCCCGGCTGATGGCCTTCCCAGCCTCCTAGTCCCTGTCCTTGCCCAGCACAGCACCCAAGACATGGCAGGCACTGAAGAAATGTGCACTGAGGGAGGAGCTGTCTGCATGCGGGTGGCTGCCATGAAACAACACAGATGAGACTGAAACTGCACACGCACTTCTCACAGAAGCCCACCAGGAAGCCCAAGCCTTCGGAGCCAGGAGCCAGGACAGTTCTGCCCCCTGCTCATTCAACATGTGCAGACAGAGCTCTCTGTCTCTGTCTCCCTAAGGCCATGGGTCATAATTACCTATATCACAACCTGATATAGGTAATTGTAGGCACACCTCAGAGAGAGTGCCCATTTAGAGATAGGCTGCAATAAAGTCAACACTGCAATAAAGTGAGTCACGTCAGTGTTTGGGTTCCTTAGTGCACTTAAAGGTTATGTTTATGGTTGATCTTATTCATGTGGGGTATAGAGAAACACAGTAGGGGGCCCAGAGTGATAGTACAGCAGCTAGGGTGTTCGCCTTGCATGCAGCCAACCCAGATTCCATCCCTGGCATCTATATGGTCCCTCTAGCGCTGCCTGAGTGAGGGCCAGGACTGAGCATCACCAGGTGTGGTGCAAAAACAAACAAGAAGCACAGTGGTGACCAGACCTATAGTAGAGCAGGAAAAGCACTTGCCTTGCATGCAGCTGACCCAGGTTCGATCCCCAGCACCCCATGTGTTCCTCCAGCACTGTCAGGAGTGATTCCTGAGTGCCGAGCCAGGAAGCAGTGGTCCTGAACACTGCTGATTTTAGCCCCCAGAAAAAAATAAATAACAACAACAAAAGAAACACAGTATGCCTACTCCAGATGGAATCCCAGTGACCAAGCGCTTTCACAAGCAAGGCCCAGGTATGCGAGTTCCAGGACTAAATTTCCAGGTTGCATGGTGGCAGAGGACCTGGGCTGTCCCTCCCCGGGTTCCCACCCACCCAGAAGACTGGCTGTTATGCCCACAATTAGCCTCTGGGCACCATCTTAGCACACCAACAGTCCTAGCCCAGAGACACAGTAGCAAGTCCCAGAAGACACCACAGCCTGGAGATCTCTCCAGGCCCCATACCAAGCCAATATCGCCGGGACACTCCAGATGAAGCAGGTGCAGGTGCTCCCCACTTACTCCAGATGGAATCCCGGTGACCAAGAGCTTTCACAAATAAGGCCCAGGTATGCAGGTTCAGGACTAAATCTCCAGGACGCATGGTGGCAGAAGACCCGGGCTGTCCCTCTCCGGGTCACCACCAGCCCTGGCCCAGAAACTCCCAATTGAATCCCAAAATGGATTAGTGCCATACAGAGATGTCTCTGGAACCCAACCATCTACAATCTAGAAATTTACATTTATAATCACAGCTGCGCAAGCTCTCATGATATTCGAAATGAGCTATGGAAAATATATTATCTAGCATCTGCCCCTGGCAGGTAGACTTGAATGGTGGTGGGAGAATTCGAGCAAAATTAATGCCCCAAATTAGAGAGAGAGTATTGGGGAAATTGTCTGCCACAGAGGCAGGGTGAGGACTGCGATGTGTATATATGTGAGTGGGGGTGATACTTGGGACATTGGTGGTGGAAAATGTGCACTGGTGGGAGGATGGGTGTTCCATCATTGTATGGCTGAATCTCAAACATGAAAGCTTCGTAACACTATCCCACGGTGATATAATAAAAAACTAATGTGGAGTTCATGCCCAATTCAATTAGCTAAATCAATGGTTGAAGAAATAGCAGTGCTCCTACATTATTTAAAAAAAAAAAAAAAGAAACACAGTAAGGGTGTTTTACTTAAACACCAGAGAATGGTGGCCATGATAACAGACTCAGTCTACTCAGGTGAGTGGAGAACAAGAAAGGACTTAATGGGACTGGGGGGTAGTGGCTAGTGGCAGAACTCTTGCATGTGTGAGACCCTAGGCTCCATCCCCAACATTGCATGGTCTCCTCAGCATTTCTGGAAGCAGCCCCCAAGGTCTAAACTGGGAGTTGCCTGCAGCACTTCTGGGTGTGGCAAAAAAAGTTAATAATTAAAGAGGTAGCTAGAGTTCCTGGTGGAGGCCTATCGGCACATTGGTGGGTGTGGGACAATGACATTGTCAGCCTAAAACATTAACAGTATTGTAAATCAGGGTGCCTAAGTAAGTGATAATGATATGGGGCTGGGAAGATGGTCATGTGGGAGCCCCAGGGTCAATCTCCCATGTCTTATAGCCCCCGAGTGACCCCAAATCATACTCCAGGAGTAGCCCCCAAG